TTCGCATGTAATTTTGTTAAATTCAAAGTGGTTTTCATGTAAATCTCTCTTGATAAGATAAGTCGAAATATTAAGAAGAGAGTTGTGATTCAGGAAATCACTCTCTACACAGTCATTTACATGGTCCCCTCCAATTTCATCAGCCATGGTACAGCTATGGGGTCTCCAATTTCTGTTGTTGTAGCAGAAATTGTGATGCAGAACATCAAGGAAAGCGTTCTTTCGACTTGCCCACAGATAATATCACTCTGGTTACACTACGTTGATGATACTTTCGTTGCCGTGCGACACGACGAAATCAACGCATTCCACCTTAACCACCACCTTAACTAACAAAATACTGACATACAGTTTACTGGAAAGGTTGAAGAAAATGGTAAACTACCTTTTCTAGACTGCTTGATAAGCCATGATGACAATTCACTACGCACAACAGTTTACAGGAAACCGACACATACCGACAGATTACTGGATGAGTCATCCTACAACCCAACATCACACAAAGCCACTACTATCAGGACTCCTACCTGACGAGCACAATTAGTATGTAATACGACAGACAGCTTATCCGATGAGAACAAGTTCCTTAACCGTGTTTTTTCAAAGAACAACTACAACAAAGACTTCATCCAACGTAACACTCACAGCCCTACTCCTACTACTACTACCAAAGCTAACAACAACGCAACTCCTATGACCACAGCCACTATACCATACATAAAGGGCATATCTCACGCATCCTACAACCATTCAATATCCGCGTTGCTCACAAACCTATTACCACAGTATGTCAGTTACTGACTAACATCAAAGACGGAGACGAACCGAGGAACAGACAAGGAGCAGTATATAAGATTAATTGCTCTGACTGCCATGCCTTCTACATCAGTGAGACTGGCAGAAACCTCGCAACTAGACTGACCAAACATAAACAAGCGACGAGGAAAGGCGATGTCAACAATCACATTGCTGAACATCACCGACTTACGAACCACACTATTGACTGGGACTCTGCACAATGCCTAACCTACAGTACTAACTACTTTCAATGACTGACCCTGGAAAGCTGGTTAACTAACTTGGAACAGACTCCCCTCAACAGGTGTCAACCACTACCGGCATCATACAAACAACTCATCCACGACATTAACATTACAAATGAAACGAACAGAACGACCTAACTTCACTAACAGATCCAAACCGACCCATCACGACTGACCTAGCCACTTGAGTCTTACAGCCAATAACATCATGGCAAAACTGACCAATCAGTGTACACAAACCGGACTAAGTACATTCGACTGACAACAACCTTTCGCTTGACTCTGATGATGACTTCCGTTCAAGTTGTCGAAATGTCAGTCAGCATTGTTGTTTGGTTTTCTGGTCTTGGTAAGTTTCTGCAAAAAGAAAAAGGATAACAATTAGAAACCAGAACAGATGACAGATGTTTTTTCTCCTCTGAGATGACGGAGGGTTTTGTTACAAGACATTTGGCGCGCTTGTAAAGGCACTTAACAATACCGTATTATACTGATTAAGGGTGGTGTGAATCATATGCTAAGTATTGATCGGTGTGTGTGCACTTCTTGTATATGCTGGTGGTGAGGTGGCTGTCAGGTTCTCTTAATACTGCAGTGACTAGGAAGGCGAGTTTGTTATCTTTCTCTGTCTCCATGGTGAAGTGGATGGAAGGCTGCTGGTTGTTTAAATGCTGTAAGAAGTCATCTATGTTTTCACGATCCAGGATGGTAAAGATATCATCCACATAGCGTTTCCAGATCCTAGGCTCGTAGGATGATGAAACTCTCCATGAAGAGGTTAGCAATAAAAGTGGAAACTGGACTCCCCGTCAGTGGCGGGGCTGACTTTTTGCTCGTAAATCGATCTGTTATATTGGAAGTATGTGGATCTCAATGCAAAGGTCAAAAGGTCAGCAATCTTTGCAGGCCTTGGTGTTCAAGGCTTGGGTTGTTCTCGAGTTTCTGCAGTGCGGCTTGTACAGTGGTGTTGATAGGAACATTGGTAAACAGCAATTTTACGTCGAAAGATAGCATGATCTCGTCGTCTAAGATCGTCTCATTGCTGACAGTGGATACAAAGTGGGCTGAATTGGTCACGGTGTACTCTGACTTTCCTGTTAAAGGAGACGAGATGTTGGCTAAGTAAGTGGATAAATCATATGCAAAGGTTTTTTACACACAACACAATAGGTCTTAGTGGTACATCGACCTTATGGATCTTCGGTAAACCGTAGATTCTAGGCGGCTGTTTGTGTCAGGGTTTGATCTTGTTGTAAATGGCCTCTGACAGATATCCACTTCGCTTCAAGATAAGCAGCTTTTCGGACAACTTTCGGGTCAGACGGTCTGTCAGATCTTTGTTGAGGAGCTGGTATGGTCCGTTTTCAATAAGCATAGACATCTTAGCTCGGTAGGTGTCGATATCCATGACTATGCCAGTACGCCCTTTGTCCACTGGGAGAACCATGATGGACTCGTCTTCTTTCAGGCTTTTAAGTGCATCTCACATCTCCTTCGTGATGTTAGGCTCTGGTGATTCCACCAGTTGAAGGATACCATTAACAGCTCTTCTGACAGCATCCGCTTGTTCGGCATCGAGTTGTCTTATGGCTGCTTCAACCTTGGCGATGATATCTGTGATAGGAATGTTCGCATGAGTTATGACGAAGTTTAGTCCTTTCTTCAGTAGGGCTTTCTCGGCATTGCTAAGGGACCTAGAAGATAAATTAACAACCCAGTTAGCTTTGTCAACGTACAGTGTATCAACCGGTGACACAGCCGCCTGTTTTTGTCGAAAGTTTTTCAAACTTCTGCTTATGTCTGTCTTTGGTGGTGTTGAAGACTCATTGGATGTTGGTCTTAATCTGCTCTAGTATCCTGTTGGCGTTGTTTATCTAGAGAGCGGATGTTATGCTCTATGCTGTAGATTCTGTATCCTTCTTTGCATCTCCTTTGGCCTTCTGTGTCAGCCTGATCCATTCCCTACATCTTAGGAATCTCATGGATGCAAATTCAGCGACTCTGCATGCACCTTTGGTTGGAACTGGCGGTCAAACTCGTAGATCTTTAGGAACAAGGCGGTTCTTGATGCACCTTGTTAGGAAGGTGAGATGGTTAGTGTAGTGTGCGAGCTTGCTTGAGCAATGCTCACGTCAATGAATCAACCTTAGGGCTGTGCGCCCATATATCTGGTTAATTTTGTGGAAAAGGTTGTGGTTATTCATCATGGTAAATAATGATAAAAGCTAACTTTTTTCGTTTGTCGCTAACAAACTTGTGTGTGTAGATGCCACCCATGCTACAAATTCTTTTCAATACTTCACTGACTTTTTCGAGATGCTCCCAAAAAATGCACAGAAAGATGGTGTGTAGAAACAATTGATACAGAGTACTTAAAAGGAGAGATCTTATTGATTTCCTTGATTTGTTTGTCTATTAGTTGTTGCTGTTGTTGTTAATATTGTAAGGACAGTGAGCAGCATGTTCCTGACTTTCTTTAAATATTCTTAGAGCGCTCAATTCCATGTTTTTTTCAAGGGAAACTACATTTCACGATGAGTTCTCATGAAACAATGACGTGTCATTTCTTTGAAAACAGGAGTGGCTTTTTTAAGCAAAACGTTAACCGATATCTCAATGTAAAATAGTTTGTGTTTGTTCACCTTGCGAAGCTGCACTAGGTGACAGGCGCTCTTGTTTATCGAAACCAGACTTCCCTTCCAATTACCTTACAGTGTCCAGTCTATTTTTTGGCTTGGGTGACGCGCCGTCTCTAACAGGGACTTTAAGCAACGAGAACAGGGACGGCAACAGGGACGGCAACAGGGACGGCAACAGGGACGGCAACAGGGACAGCAACAGGGACGGCAACAGGGACGGCAACAGGGACGGCGACGGGAACTGCAGGCTCTCTGGGAAAATCTAAATGATCATCTGCACATGACAAGTGGGAAAAAGTTTGACGTCCTGTGTTCGGCCCCGACCTGAAACAAGTCACTTTGACATCGGCTGAAAACATGAGTATCTTTTTTTTGCCTTCTCTGCTATCTAAACATTAAATATTCCCAGGAGACTATTCAAAATAACTTTCATCACTTTGTTAAACCATGAAAAGTTGCCCTGTATTCTGCAGGTTATTATTTTTTCTAAAGTTGAAAGGTGACCCAATGATAAGTGTGTTTAGTCAGCTGTTTTGTACTGGGAGTTGAATCGACTTTCTTTACGTTTAAGGTCGACTACTCCAATGTACTGGACGAAAGATCACAATCTTCTTTTAGTAAGACAAGTGCTAACTGTTGATCCATATAGCCAGCCAAAGGAAAGTAGAGAGGGAGCGAAACTTAAACCTGAGTGCAGTTTCTGAGCCCCGTTTCTCAGTTTCTGTGAGGTCTGCAAGAGACCATGTAAACCTGGTTCTAATAAACAAACACAAAAGAGAGGTTGCTGAAGAAAGCAAGGCCACTGGAATAGCAGTTGATGAGCCCTCGGAGTTTGATGCAGCATTTGAAGAAATATGTGGGAAAGCCGAGGCTGCAGAGAGATCAGCATACATATTTCCGATAATTACATTTGGTAATGCCATGGATTGGAATTTTATACTGTGAACTCTTTTGTGACCATTGTAGAAAACGCGCTGATTTTGGCCAGGCTTGCTTATTGGTCTAACTGTCCCATCAATAAAGCCAAAACATTTATCCAAGGGGGATCCCTTAGCTGTTATGGCATTACTGTATATTTCCAGTGAATGAGGGTTGAGGACGCTACATTCCACTGGTATAAAAGTCAGAAAGTCAGGAACATGCTGCTCACTGTCCTTACAATATTAACAACAACAGCAACAACTAATAGACAAACAAATCAAGGAAATCAATAAGATCTCTCCTTTTAAGTACTCTGTATCAATTGTTTCTACACACCATCTTTCTGTGCATTTTTTGGGAGCATCTCGAAAAAGTCAGTGAAGTATTGAAAAGAATTTGTAGCATGGGTGGCATCTACACACACAAGTTTGTTAGCGTATTGCACAAACATGTCGCGTTGAAATTCTGTCTGAATTCCCAAAATGAAATCGTTCAATTCGAGACCGGTGTGAGTTGACTTCTCCCCCAGTCTCCTAAAACAGAAAGCAGGGTTATAATTTTCTCTTTTCATCTCTTCCACCCAAAATAGGACTCTGTTTGCATTGTTCTGCATGCAACTGATGTTGTATTGATGCTTGATGTTATGAAGGTCTAAGCATATAGTGAGATGATCTCTAGTAAGTGGATCACCTTGACTGTCTCTTATGAAATCCATTATAGCATTCATATTCACCCCCTGGACAAAACTTTGCTGCTATAATAGTACGCATTTTCTTGGAAATACAACTATGTGCAATTTCCTTTCTGTGGCCAACATAAGCTAAACAGAATTCTGCTGTAACTTCGCCTGTTATTGCATCTGTCCTGGCAGTTACAAAAGCAGGGCAAGAACAACCTGTTTTTAATGATCATTGTGATTTTATCGCATGCTTTCCCATCCCCTAAGTCTCAAAATCGCCGGTTCTGTTACAGTAAAACCAGCTGGTCTTGTGCTGTTTGGTTTGCCAATCACCTCTTTGTTTCACAAATGAACTCTTCCGAATTTTTCTTCACACTCTTTCCATTTTTCAAATTCTTCCCAATTTTTGGAACTCTCAGACTCAATCTTAAGAGTGTGTCCATGTGAAGCATTCAGATGCTGGATCAATTCTTATGTTTCTTAAAAATGTTTTTCTTCTCTGTAGACAAAATGAGAAATATAGTATATTGTGATATTAGCGTTCATTTTCGATAGCCATACTGTTTGGATTCACTCATGTTAACTGTATACACAAGAACAATTCAGGTCGCAAAATCTTTTTACACCTAAAATACGATCCCTTCGTACTGAAAGTCGGTATTGATCTATGTAAATAGTATTATGCTCTGCTTTTCAAGTTGTCTTGCATGAAAAAAAAGGTGGTGATGTTAAAATATGGGGGTACACTATATTTAAAGTTGCCTGTTTCATCTCACCTTGATTCTTCATCTCTACATTCAGGACAAACAGTATGTTTGCTTCTTGTGACCTTACTAGTTTCGTGAGACAGTTTGTGTTTTCTCATCTTATGCTTGTATAAACAGTTTAATTTCAAGGAATTATATGCATCAAACAAGAAGTGTGTCCCCTGGGAACATTTTATGTTTTGTTCATTGTTATTAATTTGATTACGCCAAAAGACAATAGCATTTTGCACGTGGAAAATAATGCTTAAAATTTCCAAAGAAGCCCATCATCTAGATTTATGGCTTTCGACCGATTTACTGTTTCAATATCCTTTTTTTCTCGCTGTTGATGATTAAAAACTCTCTGAAATATAACTATAATGTACTCTTTAAATGGTCTAAATTGGCATACTCTTAAAATGCTCTAGTTTCAAATGAGATTTTGCAGATCATCAAAGTTGTGAACGTTATGAACCCTGACTCCTGCTTTACGAGTGCAGTGCTATACCATTTCAGCTATCAAGCCAACTGAGATCTGGGTATTTAAGTGAGTTCTCAAATATAGTCCTGTAGAGGATGTTTCAGTGAGTGAAAGCGTTACAGCAATCATGCAACAGTAATTTCCGGTGGCGACAGGATTATCTGCAAAGATCTTTTCAGCCTTTCTGACCCTCGTTTCGAATTAAAGTGAAGTTGGTTTGTCTCCTTTTAAGAGCTAATATGTAGCTCCAAATGGAAAAAAAATTGCTAACCGTAAGTAGGTAGAAGATCATCGAAGGGTTTATCCCATATCATGTCTTGAAATGAACCAATAGTTGTTGCGGATATCTCACACTCAGTTTTTGGCTGATGAAAGCCTTTCGCAAACCACACCATCTTTGCCTTGAAGGCGTGGGATATTTGTCTTCTGCGAATTGCAGTAGAAGGATTCATTTCCATTAGATCAACAGCGAAAAAGTCAGGATCATTCAAGGGTATCGAACTGGTTTATTTTATTCAGGAATTTCAATTTCCCGCAATTTGGCTTTAACAGGCGCACTTATCATACTAGTTACCTACTCCCTCTGTGTTATTTCTTAGTGTCCAGTCTATTTTCGGCTCGGGTGTCGTGCTGTCTCTAATGGCATGTTGGGTCTTTCCCCGTGTGTCTTGCCTCGGAAGTGCAAAAGTGGTCCAATGCCCCATCCTGGGCCAAAAATTGGCAACAAAAGTCAGCAAATCCCACGCTATTTCCCAGTATGTCCCCGGGGTCAACCCACCTGGATGGCCGCTGATAAGTGTATTATATGACCACGATTTAAGCATACACAAGCACTTCGATTTACTGGAGAAGTATTGTACCATATTTTGTAAATCACATTAAAAATGAAATCTTCTTGCATTTAACCAACCTTTGTCTTAATGTTGAGTTTGAAAGGAGATTAAGCAGATCGAAGGAACGCGCAGGCAAACAGCATTTGCCAGGTCACTAACTAATGAAATTGTTCCATGAAAACGAAAGTTCAGCACCATAAACAGCAGCAAAGCTGCAAGCAAATATGGCTGCTCTGCAGTCGGCAGAAATAGAAATCAGCTCCAGTAGCTTTGTGTTAAGCCACTTAAAATTTATTATTTCAAACTTTTATGTTGATGAAGAATGCGCTGAAAAGTGACGAAACTCGAACACGGTTAGAACTGGTTTTATAAACTCAGTTTTCCAAGCGGACTTCAGGCAATTGTTATGCTAATTTATTGGATTTTATGTTTGTCTCATGTATAAGTCGAGGGTGATTTTTTGCACTGATTTTTTGGTCGTAAAAGGTAGACTTATACACAAGTAAATGCGGTAGTTCTCATTTTAGAGTATTGAGTGTACTTGAGTCAGGACTTAAGTAAGTTTTCAAAGAGTGAAAAGCAGATATTCCAAGAGCATTATGTATGGTATCACCTTTGATATTATTAGAAGCTTTACCAGTAGGCACTAGAAAAAACACTTTTACTAGTGTTAAGTCAATTCCAGCTCTCTGATTATAATATTTCAAGGCTGCCTGATACAATCCCTTAGTTACAAGTGATTTCCCAACTCCTGAACCATGGCTCTGTAGTCTTCATCCTGAATTTCATTTAGTATAAGTGGTTCATGATGTAGATCAACTGGTGGAATGCCAATGTCATCAGCAAGATTGTAGTTCTCGTTAAATCAGGTTCTAAATCTTGATTACCTTCTATCTCATCTAGGCATTCAGCATTTTGAGTAGTTGGTGCTATGATGTCATATTGATTGTCCATGTCGTCCATATCATTTATTTGTTCTTGTATGTCATTAAAATCTATATTACAAAGAGCAAATTCTTTTACCTTTTCATTTATTTTATGAGCAAATATAGAAAAGTAATCTTGATAAGATGAACAGTTACCAATGAAATCAGTGTGTTCATTTCTCCATGAAGTGAAAAGCATGATTAGTTCACGATAGTGTTTATCTTGGTCAGTTTCTTTGTTGAACCACACACTTCTTATTATGCCGGCCTTTTTCCTCCTTTTGCTTTTCTTTGAAGTTTTGTCTTTATAATGGGCATGATTATCATCGTTGGCATTATCATTATCATCATTATAATCATCATCAATAACTTCGTTAGTGGCTGTTTCTAAACTTCTATTCTATTTTCTATTTCTAACATAAGGCTATTAGTGTCAAGTTCTTTAAACTATTTAGTATTTGGTTTTGTACCAGTATTATACCAGGCAGCCTAGTCTGCTAGGGTAAGGTGTTCAAGACTGGCTGGGCATTTTGTGTATCTTTTAAGTAAATGACCAGAATAGATGTCTTCACAATCGTCATTCATACCTTTAATATCACTTAGTAGCTTTAAAAGGTTTACTCTCTCACAAGGAGGTGAGGTATTTATAAAAACAACTTGCTGAGATGCTTTGCACATTGGAAGCTGTAAAACAATGTATACAGCTTCTTGTGCACTTACTTCCACATTATGTAAAAATTTGCTTCCGATATCTCTCACTTGCTATTTGATGGTGGAATTGGCCTTTCTTGCTTCAACACAAGCCTGTCGTAACAATTCACTCATACCTTTCTGAGCCTTTGAAATATAATTTGCTATGTATATTTCCATGCATACACATCTAGCACAAATTATTTTTATATCCATATTTGCCCTCTGTACACTAAGATATGCAGGATTGTAATTATTTATCCTCAATTCATTAAGGCGTCTTTTGAAAAACACAGTTGGAGTATTAATTGACTATCAGACAGCTAACATACAATCACCTTAGTAATAAGACCACAACAAAGTTGTCAAAAGTGATGTCCATACCTTCTTTAAGGTCATTTAAATATTGGTTTATCTTTTTCCAAGAATCCTAGTGTGATTTTATTTCATTCAGTGATATTTCATCTACAGATAATGGGTAGAGAATAACTGTTTCTCTCATAGGAGGCTGAGGATAATTGAATTTACATTCATTTTTAATTTGTTTACGACATGCATGAGAATATTAATGAATCTGCACATTAACTAGTTCCAATAAGTCAGCATCGTCTAATGGCTTCTCACAAGTACTTATTTTATCAATAAATGAAGTCACTTTGCTATCATTATCTTCCCCAAATTCAGGTGCATTTTCAATTCATATCATCATGTGAATGTGAGGAGAACCTCTTTGTGATATATAGATAGTGTGAGAAAATATCTCTCAGCTGACAATTGACTGTTCTCAACACTTTAATCCTCAAAACTAAACTCTACACGCAGATGGTCACTCTAGCATTTCACGACTGAAACACACACCTTTGAAAACCCCGTGGTTGTTACATACTCTATGTAAGAAACACCGTTCACTCCTTCTCTTACATCATCCCCTCCCAAATAGGCCTGAAACTCCTGATTCAGAGTAAACTATAGAAACAAACTGTCCGATAAAACTTGAAACGCTAGGTTCTCGAAACAAAAGAGAAAACACAAAGTGTCATAAATGGAGGCTGTCTAAATGTTCCACAATGCCTTTGCTTTCTTTAACAATTTTGGCTTCAGTTTCCTTATCTGCTCCTTTTCCATTTTCTGCTTGGCTTCAAGCGTCTGAAGACGTATGACGATCTCTTGGATGCTACTGAGAACCCACTCGCCATAACGGTCAAGGGGTCTCCTCACCTGCACTGGCCGCTGGCTCTGGCCGCATAGAACCACCTTGATCACCGACCTGAAAAATATAGCTGTCACAGGGCTAATGTAATTCATTATCTGAGGGAATGGTCGGGGTATCTAGCTCGTCTTCAACTTCCTTGGGGTCCATTTCCTCTCCCGAAGCACTTCCAGTGATGCCAGTAGTTTCTCCTTCTGTTGGCTCTTGTATTCTCTGGTAAAACCTTAGGTTATTGAAATGGACTACTCTGGACCTCCTTGTTTGTCCTTGAATCTTCTTGATCAGATGGGCAACTTTGGTGACCCACTTTACAATCTCGTAGGGCCCCTACCACTGTCTTTGAAACTTGCTTCCTTCCCCTGGTTTCAACTGTGGTGTGTAGCGTAGGACAAGATCACCAGGTTGATGAACCGTGTGCTTCACTCCCTTTTCAAAGGCATCCTTCTGGCGTTGCTGGGCCACCTCAAGGTTTTGCCTAACATCTTGATACGCTGTTTATAGATCCTCTTAAGGATCAGTGACGAAGTCAGTGTAGGAACACTCATTGTCTTTGGCACCACCAACCAGTACATTCAAAGGTATCCTCATCTCGCTACCAACATGAGCTCGAACAGGGTTTGCCCCGTGGAGGAATGAACACTACTGCGATAGGCCATCATGCAGAAATCAAGGTGCTCATCCCATGTAGCTGGATTATCTTCAACTCTAGCTTTTAACATGCTCCTTAAGGTTTTGTGCAGATTTTCTACTTGGCCGTTGCCCTCTGGCTGATAAGCACTTGTGAGTTAATACTCAGCAGCTGGCACATTTCCGAGAATATTTTAGACCCGAAATTACGGCCCTGATCGCTATGAATGCTGTCAGGCACACCAAATCTGTAGATCCAGTTCCTTACAAGCACCTTTGCACAGGTTGTGGCATGCTGGTTGGAGATTGGAAACACCTCAGCCCATTCAGTAAAACTGCACTGAACTGTAAAAATGTAGCAGTTTCCTCTTTGTGACCATGGCAAGGGGCCAACAATGTCAATATGGATGCGTTGCATGCGGTTGCCAGAGGTAAATGATTGCAGTGGTGCTCTGGGTTTTGCTCTTGGCTTACACTTGGCACAGGTCAGACATCGATTGCAGTAACGATGCACCTCTTTGGTCATGCCAGGCCTCCAGAATCTAGCTTTCATCTTCATTAGAGTCTTCATTCATCCTAGGTGGGAACCAGCAATGCCATCATGAACTTCGACAAGGGCCTTCTCCACTAACTGTTTCGGTAAAACCATCCTCAGTTTAGCTTGAGTAGTGTGGCCAGCTGACTTTATATAGAGAACCCCCTGTTTTAACAACAACAGTTCAAACTAGGCCCAGACAGCACGGGCAGCATAGCTGCAGAGCAGCTATAGCTGGATAGCAGCATAGCAGCCTCCACTCTTTAAACAAATGACTAAGTACCACGCTGATATCTGGATCATCTCTCTGGGCCTATGCAACCACTTTTGGGGACCAACAATTTCTCACTTCACTTGGGGTTTCACTGGTGGGAAGGTCTCTAGTAACAGCAGCAAATTGGGATAGTCCTGTTGGAGTACGCGACAGACAATTCCCACGTTGTCGTCTGGGCCTTCTAGATTAGGCGTCTCTCTTTAGAAACTGACACTTAGTTGGCTTCAGCTTAAGACCAGCAGTTCGTATCCTGTCAAATACTAAACGCAGGCAACCCAGATGTTCCTTGAATGAAGGGGCCCAGATAATAATATCCAAATACACAAGATAGTGTGTCCAAGTCAGTTCACTGAGTTCTAGATTCACCAATCTGGTAAAACTAGCTGGCCCATTTGTGAGACCAAATGGCATAATAATAATAATATTAATAATAATAATAATAATAACTTTATTTGTATAGCGGTATATACAAAAGTTCTATATCGCTTTACAATCAAAAAAGAAAATAACTAACTAACAATAACACCAAAACAAAAAGTCAAATGAAAGCGAGTCTGAAAAGATAAGTTTTCAATCTAGATTTAAAAACATCAACTGATCCACTTAATTTAATGTCTAAGGGAATATCATTCCATTGCTTTGGGGCAGCGACCGAAAAGGCCCTGTCCCCATAGCTCTTCAGGCGCGCATTTGGTACTTCTAATAAATGTTTGCCAGCAGACCTAAGATTTCTTGTAGGGTTATATGGGACTATAAGTTGACTTAAATACGGAGGCGCCAGATTATTGAGAGCTTTAAAAGTTAACAGTAATACTTTAAAGGTAATTCGCTGCTCCACAGGTAACCAGTGTAGCTCCTTAAGGACGGGGCGAATGTGCATTCTAACCCATTGGAATTGTCCATGATGGGTCGAGAACGTTGTTTTGGGTCTGTCCTCTTCTTTTACTTGCATCTGCCAATACCCAGATGCCAGATGCTTCCAAGACATCATTGGTCCTTGGTAATGGTATTGCATCTTTCTCTATACACAAATTCAGTTTGCGGTAATCAATGCATATACAGTAACTTCCATCATGTTTCCTAACTAAAACAACTGGACTGCTCCAGGCGCTCTGTGACTCTTCAACTCTACCATTCGCTAGCAGCTCGTCCAGCTGTTGATCTATGATCTCCCTCTGGTGCGGTGGTATGCGACGAGGAAGCTGCTTAATTGGAGCATGCTCACCAGTGTTAATTTCATGTTCTATAAATCTGGTTTTCCTAAATCAGAATTGTTCATTGCAAATATGCCCTCATATTCATCTATCAGTAGGGAAAATTGCCATTTTTGTGCCTCTGAAAGAGAATCTGAATTTGGTTGAATAACTTTTGCCCTTCTATTATCTCTTTCTGTACTTTCCTGCTTGTCATCCCCTATATTCCTGTCCATAACTGAACAGTATGGATTCCAGGGCTTCTGGAATTCTTTCCATAACCTCCTTCTAATCTAGCTCTTATCACTAGTTCAGTCCCAGGTTCTAGCTCTGCATCAGCTCATAAAAAGATTCTACAAACACTTGGTGTAGCCTTGCGGTATCTGATTGGAATTTTCGAATCTCCTACTACAAGAGTTCCTGTGTCATAGTGAATTTGACACTGATAGTGTTGAAAAAAGGTCTGAACCTAGTACAAAGTCATGGGCTAAACCTTACACTATTATACCAGACCAGGAGCATTCAATCTTTCCCATACGAATTCGCACATCAGTTTCTCCCGGAACAGTCAGCTCATTGCCATCAGCTGTAGTGAGTCTTCGTGCAATTGGCTCCGGTTTTAAAACAGTTCCACTTTTTTCCACGCACACTTACTCAACACACTGATAGTAGCACCAGTCTTCAACAGTATGCACATCAAACGATGATTCACAAGTCCCAAAACATAAATCCCAGACTCTGATAAGACGGACAGCGCACTTTCATTTTGAGACACACCAAAATTCTCCATAATAAAATCAGTTTCTACAGGGCCTGCCTGACCTTGTCCTACGGGGACTGGTTAGCCCTCTGCAGGCCCCATCTTGCGTTTTCCCGATACTTTAGTTGGACATTCCCACGCAAAGTGACCTTGTCTGTGGCAAGAATAGCACACCGCATCATCACGGCGCCTTGGAGTTGTTGTGGCCCATGTCTCGTTTTTCTTTCCAGTTCCTTAATTTTCTCATTCACGCCAAGAACAAGTTACTTAAGCTCACGTATCTCTTTTGAAATCCTCTCGTTTCCAGCCGACGTGCTGACTACACTAACGGATTGCTTCTTCTCGACTGACGGAGCCGCTCGACATGCTTTATGCACACATTCTAACTGGCGAACCACGCAAACTGCCTCCACCAGTGATCCCGGTTGACTTATAAATAACTTCTCTCATATGTCATTACTCACTACCACTCCTTGAATAAACTGATCTCTGGCCAACTCCACTTTGAATAGATAAGCCGTGTCTAGGTACGAATTTTCGACTTATTCTAGCAGGCTATCGGCGAACCCCTCGAAATCTTTGTTCGGCTTCGGACACCTTGCATGTAGCTGCAATTTGTAATCCTCCCTCGTCTTACCCGAATCGAATCTCTTATCAACTGTGCCATAAAATCATCAAATGATGGGAACTCTAGAAGCTTGAGCAGTTTCACCGCTTTAAAGACCGGCTGGTTCAACATTGTGAGTAAATATGCTCGACGATCCGACAGCTTGATGCACACAAGGTAGGCATGCTGCTTGAACTGTGACAACCATGTTTTAAAACTCTGTCCCACTGAGTAAACACGCGTTGCTTGTACATTTCTCCTCGCTTCGCTCACCTCACTTGACATCATCATACTTTGCTTAAGCACCTGTACTAACTGCTGCAGGTCACTGTTTCCTTCATTCGGCTCACTCTCCATTGGTTTCTCTAGCTTATATTCCGGTGGGAAATCTGGCAGTAACGCGCCTTCGGCACCTTCGGGTATTATCACAACCTATGCATATATTATTTATCTTTATTTTTTTTAATCAAGAATATTACTACCTTGCCTTCCAGATTGGCTTTTAGCACTGCCAATCCATAAGTGAATTGGCTCAAATCGTGCCAGGCACTTTAACAGCATATTTGAGGTGAAACCAATAGAAAAAAAAAAGGATTTCCATTTACCAAAAGAATGGAGCATTGCTTTCTTAACTAATATATTTGCTTTGAAACATGATATCAAGTGTCGTAATCATTGCAGTCTTCATCAATTGAAGAGTTTTATGGTAAATATTTCTAAGTTTGAAAGCAATGAAGAACTGAAATATTTTAATTGAGTAATTTACCTTGCCATGTGTTCCTCGTTTTTCCCAGGATAAAATAGGGCCAAGACCAAACTGTCTTTGCTCTTGCACCATGATGGCAAATCTACATTTCCAAATGAACATTCAAGAAAAGAAAATGTATTGATATATGCAATTATGTTATTTTTTGTGAGTATCAAAAGCAAAATGTTAAAGAAACACATGATATGAACAATAAATGTGGCTGTCAAATTTTGATTTCATTGTGGGTGGCTGACTAGCGAATTATGAAGGTTCATCAACACCTACCCCCTCAAAGCTCACATTCACTAATAGGGGCTGGACATCTCTTTACTCAAACACCTCTTAGAAGCATTTTAAAAGTTCACTGAATTGATTATCATTTGAAGTGCTGTGAATGTAAACATTACCGTTAACAAGTGAGTATTAACAAGTATGGAATGATGTCGTGCTCAAAACTTCAACTTGTAATTATGTAACTACTATATGGATGCAAATTATTCTGGACTAAATAGGTTAATAATACATAAAATGTAGTATAGAAGCTATAGCACCGCCTGGCACAGGGTTTACATCCTGTACTTTCCTCATTATAGTCTTCAGCTCTGTAATTTACCCTAATTTTGTCACATTTGATGATGGTTATAGCATGGCTCATCTCTTTTTCGATCCTTTCTTCTCTCTTGCTTCCAATTATGACTGTACTAGCAATTAATTAGGCATCAACATTCGTAGTTCACTATTACTAGAAATTTGTGGGTTATTTAATAATGGGATTTCATTGTATTCCGGGTAAGGATTTGTTGAATTAATGCTGTTTACTAATCATCAAGCCTGCATTCCACCTCTTTCCTGGGGTGCTACACTTGACCTTGTGGTTTAAATTTTGAAGTTGCAGAGACAGACTTCATTAAGCTGTCATTATCAGAGTTTGATGTTATAGTAAATGCCTCTGAATTCTGATCCTCCACATCTGTTGCCTGGTCATGAGCTTGTGCACTGGACTTGCACGTAGCACCTAAGATTTAATTTTTCAAATCAGTATAACCAACTTTCTGACTGAAGAACACAGCAACGCCATTCAGGGCCTCTGGAGTCAAGTAAAACGGAAGCTGAAGGTGATGAATGGGATGACTGAAGCCAAACTGCCAGGTTACCTTGAAAAGTTCAACTGGAGTAAACTCCATCAAGAGGCAAACACAGGAGACAGATTCCATTACATGTTGCCTCACATAGCAGAGATCTTTCCGCTGAACTAAGTTCGCTTAGCTCAAGCCTAAACAAACGGCTCCTCTAGGAACCACCAAATTAAAAAAGTCTATGACCAACACATTGCTGTGTTTTAAAAATGAAATAAAATAAAGTTTAATAAAACACCAAAAGGTAAACTTTAATACTTTAGTTGATAAAATACGCCAACAAAAACAAAAATGTTAACCGACTCCGCTAAGACCTGTCAATAGGAAAAAGAGGATTATAAATCAGACATACATGAAGTACTCTTAACTACAATTTTGCAATGCATTAGAGGGCGATTGAAAAACTACTTTTAGCTTTGGTTATTTGTTACTGCAAAATGGAGAAAAGAAGCCATTTTGTATACAAACAAGGATATAAGAAATAGGTACTAAATTTACTACTAAATTTTGGTACATATAGCTGGGAGATGGGTTTAACAAGCCTATTTACCGTTTAAGCAGAATAAAGTTGATTGGTATGAACGGTGTTCTTGACAGGTTTCTAATTACTGTTTTCAACTGGAAAAGTTTTCATTCTGTTTTTGGTCAATTTTTGGCGTACTTAACACTTATGTAATAGTGTAGTTTGATTGTCCGGGTGAGTGTAGTCCTGAGAAGGACTGTTGTCGGTAGCGGTGACTGACGTTTCGACAACCTGAACAAAAGTTATCATCAGAGTCAAGTGAAAGGTTGTTGTCAGTCGAATGTACTTAGTCCGGTTTGTGTACACTGATTGGTCAGTTTTGCCGTGATGTTATTGGCTGTAAGACTCAAGTGGCATAGGTCAGTCGTGATTGGTCAGTTTGGATCCATTAGTGAAGTTAGGTCATTCTGTTCGTTTCATTTGTAATGTTAATGTCGTGGATGAGTTGTTTGTATGGTGCCGGTAGTAGTTGACACCTGTTGAGGGGAGTCTGTTCCAAGTTAGTAAACCAGCTTTCCAGGGTCAGTCGTTGAAAGTAGTTGGTGCTGTAGGTTAGGCATTGCGCAGAGTCCCAGTCAATAGTGTGGTTCGTAAGTCAGTGATGTTCAGCAATGTGATTGTTGACATCGCCTTTCTTCGTTGCTCGTTTGTGTTCGGTCGGTCTAGTTGCAAGGTTTCTGCCAGTCTCACCGATGTAGGAGGCGTGGCAGTCGGAGCAATTGATCTCCTGTAGTACAGCCAACTGTCGGCAATGTGTCGGCAACATTTTATCACAAATGGATTTAGGTGAAGTTGATACAAGGGATGCAAATATTTTTGTGTGATTAACCATGAATTATGTAATAAAATCTACTGATTAGCCTCTCACCTTGTGTAAGGTTCATTGTGAACATTTATTATTTAAGTGTCGACA